TGATTGCTTCTGTTGTTCAGATCTGCAGACTTTGCTGCAATACTGAGTTGAGTGCGAGTATAATATTCGTAGTAGTACAAACTTTGTTGTTACCAAGACTACTCCTATGTATACCTTGCTATACCAAACCGGATGAAGAATAGCATCTTACGTGTTATAATTAAATTTAAAATGTTACCTTTTGCGGACTGGCTGTAACTCTTTGGCTACATTGCTCCAGTGCGACATTAGGTAGCTATGGGACAGTTTGGTGTCGCCACCAGTAAACTCGAGCTGGCTGTAACTCTTTGGTTACATTGCTCCGGCTCGGTATTGGGTTAGGACATATATAGTAATGTCTAAAACTGTTATATCTAATTATAGATGTTATGCAATATTATTACATATTTACAATTTTTGAAGGGGTATTTTTTTTATATTAGAAATTAGTTATTAAATTTCCATTGAAAACAGGCCAAACATAGGTGTATTATGATAGTAATATAGCTGAGTGCCCCCCAAAAAATTAAAAATTAAATAAAATAATAGAACGAAATAGGTTAATATGAGTTATGTATGTTGCATATCCAAATGTTTGATCTTATTATATACATATACATATATACCTAATGATGAGCAGTACCTGTATGCATCTCCATTGAATATGAGACGTGATGGTCTTGGATTGTTACAGTATCATGTTACCACTTGTTCTACATATTTGACTCGTTGTCGGGTGTCATTTATAGTTAAAGGTCACCCGGTACGTATACACAGGCATGGTGTGAGAATTACCACATTTATCCTGCAATAAGCCCAAGTAGTTTTACACAACCTCGGCTCAAGCAGGAGATGTACATACATGTATGGAAGGACAATGCTATAATATCTGTTGCTTTTTACTCATGGGCTTATTGCCAGATAGATGCAGAACTTATTTAACTAAAACAGTATAAAACACTGCGCCTGCCAGTTTGGTGTAGTTACATATATAGCAAATCTTGCACATAATTGCCAGACTGTCCATGATCTATCCGGTAGATGTCAGTGCTATTTGGGCCTCTCTGATTGAGGAATTTGGAGTTCTGATATACCTGCAGTACGCATCTGAGGACCATCTCCCCAACACTTTAATAAGGTGGTCGGGAAGATATACCAATGACGATGTGGTTGCCGCTCCTATGCGGAAACTATGTCCATTATAACAGTCTGAATTGATACCTAAACACTCCAGTACATGCCTGAACCTTGCGATAAAAACAGTACGTGTCAAGGCTTGTCCACTTGCTATAACAAACAACGGATCATCCGGTGCAGGATTCTGGCATTGTCTTGCCGCCATGTATTTACAGCAAGCAACATAGGGACATATTTCACTACCGTTCTTAAATAGTTTCAATGTGACCCCTTCCCGGAATGGGTCAGTTTTCGACTTTTTGAGATTTAGTAGTACATGTTCATTAGCTATGATGAGATCGTTGAAACACAGGTTAATATTATGGTCAAATTGTTTGTTCACAGTAAATTCACCACATCTCAAAAAAGCAAAGAAAGCGACAATACACACTGTCTCTAACATCAAGTCTTCGAAAGAATTCATGTTTTTGCGTAGATATTTACATGTGTCCCTGAGTATGTTAAAGGTAATTGGATACCGAGGCCTGTTTACCTTTCTCCTCGTACGTTTAACTCCTCCCAGCACAGCATGCATCCGACATAAGTTCGTATTGTTTGGATACGGTATATCGTTTTTTAAGCACATAAATCGAATTCCGCACAGGTACAGTTTTATAGTAGAATACGCCAGATTAATGTTATGACAGTGAGCCACAAAATATATCAGAATATTTTCTGTAACATTCATGTCTGCCAAGTTAACACTGTTAATAATACCTGCCATCAAAAGGAACCTAATGAATGTGTTGAATCCAGTGTCGTATGCATGTTTAGTACTGGGAGCTATGGCTGTCTCCCACAAGTCATCCACTACAGATTTAAGTCCCATATGACCTCGGAAGTTGGGGGAACTTGACAGGGATGATGGTTGGCCTCTGGAGCCAGCTGTCTGAAACGTGCCATCTGAAAACGAGACAAGGCGTCCGCTATTACATTGTACTTGCCCGGAACATGTTTAGACAATACCACAAATTCGTTGATAGCAGCGCACATGGTCAAACGTCTCATTAACGGCATGATGTGTGGGGCTTTGGAACGCCCTTTATGTAGTATAGCTACTGTAGCACTATTGTCGCACATAAACATAATACGTAGTCCTCTCCATCTATGTCCCCATATCATTGCGGCTACTACTATGGGGTATAGTTCCTTAAATGCTATGGACAGTTCTTTTACACTGTCTACATGTTCGTGCATAGTCGCTGGCCACCGCTGCGCAAACCACTGACCCTGCATATATCCCCCGAATCCTAACGTACCAGATGCATCGGTATACAGTTGAATGTCCTCGGATGTTGTGATGTAACGGTTATAAAATATGGTTGCTCCATTCCAGTGCCTCAGAAACGTTAACCACATCCTAATGTTATGCCTACATTCATTATTGATCTTGATATGGAGGTGTAATGCCTTCACACTGGTTGACAATTTAATGATGTAGGAAACAAAACTCTTGCCAGGGATCACTACTTTACTTGCAAAATTCAAATGCCCTAAAAGCTGGAAAAGTTCCCTCTTTGTACATGACTGACGGTTTTGAAATGATCTTAACATTTCCACATCCCTTTTAAGCTTGTCTTCCGGTAACCTAGCTTCCATGTTATCTGAGTCTAGAATAATACCTAAATACTCGAGCGCAGTTTCTGGTCCACAAGTTTTATGGAGGCAATGGGTATGTTCAGGCTATTAAAAATGTGGTACAATAAAGACATATTTTTATCTCCACATTTACCGGGCTCTTCGATGGTTATAAAGTCATCTAACAGATGCAATATATGCTCGATTCCATTGTTATTTGAAGCGATCCAACATATGGCCTGTGATAAATTGTCAAAAACCTTTGGACTCGACCGACATCCAAACGCCAATCTGGTGTAATAATAATATTTGTTTTCCCAACATATACCATAAAGATGCCATTGCGATGGATGTATGGGCAAAAGTTTGAATGCGTCCGATATATCGGTCTTACACATAGTGGTATCTTTTCCCAAATTTTGAATAATTTTTATTGCATCATCGATACGGACATATGATAGCGAATAATCTTCCTTATCGATGACATCGTTGACGCTTGGATTTCCTTCATCTTCATGAGGGGAAGACAAATCTACTATAAGACGGGGTTTACCTGAATATTTCCCATAAGCCACCCCTATGGGACTCACTCTATACGCAGTAAACGGGAGACTTTGATATGGGCCTTGTAGAAAACCTTTGTTGACTTCACTCGCGATTAGAGTTGTAACCGTTTGTTCTTTTTTTAACGCCGATTGTAAATTTTTACATTCTCTTATCGGTAGGGCAATGTCTGTGACCATAGTGTCAAAACCGTCAGTTAAGCCGTCGCACAAATAATTTACAAAGAATCTGTCGGGATGTCCACTGAGCTTTTGACGTAATCGCTCAATATCTATAGGCGTGCTGGCTATCGTTGGAAGTCAGGCGTTACTCTCATCATTTGGGGGTTTGTTGGCCTTTCTACATGCTTTAGCTCCGTGGCTTGTGGCTTTGCATTAAAAGCATATGTGCGAGAAGGCACATTTAGCCCCGAATTGACAGGCGTCGTCATTGAAAGTATTGCACACTTCTGACCCGTTAATTTTAATTTTTGGACGTCGGAGACGATCAGTGTCCGTATCCCCCTGGTTCGGTTTACTGTGATTTCTATCGTTCGATGACGTTGATTGATATTTTGCATATTGTTGAACGTTCTTTTTCTCCCTTTGCTGAGAACAGAACGGGGTTGAATGGGAGGTCAATCCACACAAATGGCAGGTGTTCACTTAAGAGTTTCCTACCACCATACTGAGAAGCCCGTTGTCCTTCATGTCCCAGCGGATCTTCTGGTTTTTATCTCTCAAGGAAGCTGCAGCCTTCATGGTGAACTGACAATGGTAGTCATAAAATCGTTGACCATAAACGTTTGATATCTCTATGATGTTCGCTTCATAAACATCAAGTTCTGCCCGTCGTTCCGGAAATTTGGCGCACATGACCCTTTTGAATTTCCCGAATGCGGTAATGAACTCCGAGATAGTCAGTGACTTGTTCAGACGGGGGTCTTCAGACTCATATAGATGTATGTTTATACCCTTATGGCGATCTTCTGGGCGGTCGGTCTCGAATTTGGGGATAAGAAGGGAGGCAAAATTTACGTACCTCCCCTCAATAATTTTCTTCTTGTTCGCATTGGATACGATGTCAATGTGGGGAATACTGTCGGAGTTTATGCCTTCACCTGTAGTCACTGTAATGTTGTTACCGGCCGCGGTCTGATCCTGAACTTGTCTCATCGAAGCGTATGCCGTCGCCAATGTGAAATCCTGAGCATTACTCTCAGGCGTATCGCGAGCTCAAATCAGTTTGATGACAGTCTGTTGGAGGCCCATCATCGTCTGTTGCATGTTTTGCATGGACGCCAACATGCCTTCGATGATCATGTTGTTACCGCCGCTGGCGGCTGCCTTATTGGATCCCGTCCAACTCTCGTCTCGCACGTTAGCTCCCGGATTAACACTGCGCGCAGCTGTTGCAATTGGCGCCTCACTACCTTGCGGTCTAGCCAATGCCGCCGCGTCACGAAGTAGTTCCGTGTAATTGTCATGTTCAGGCGTTGGTGCGACACTTTCGGCGGTACTATTTTGTCCATTTGTACTATTAGTTGAAACACTCGGAATACTGGGCATAACATTGCCACTCTGTCCTGTGCTATTGACTTCACTCGGAGTGTTGACAGTGTTGTTCACTCGGGCGAGACGCTGCACATTGTCCATATACAATGCCTTCAAAGCTGCTTTGGTGATACCTGTGGAAGGAGTATTGATACCATGTTTGTTAATTCCTCGCGTAGTTGCGTTATGGTCCAATAACACGGGTTAGACGTATCGTATGGAACACTTTTCCTCGAAGTCGATCGAGGTTGACGACTCGCCATTGTCCGGAGTTAAAAGTTCACGCACAGTTGTAAATATACATTCCCTGTCCGGTAACTATTAGGTAACCGCTTGGTTAAAACTCTTAATATGTTCCCAACAGGCTATATGAAAAGATACCTTAATAGTATATTGATTAGATTTAGGATAATTCCGTGATTAACGGACAAATTAATTAATGAAACTAAAGATTATTTCAGACTGGTCATTTTGCTACTGTCTCTGGACTTAAGTGACGCTATCCAAAATTCCTTCGGCCAATCAGACTGCTGTTTGGTTGCACGTGATCTATCAATTACCTTCATTGACCACTGACCAGTCGGCCCCTTGACATGTATACTGTCGATGTCCCTCTCGACTTACACCCAACCAAATATGGATAGATCCCCCACAAGTGATTGTTTACATTAGGCCCTCGCTATGTATATGATCGCTGCCCATCTCTATTACACACATAGTCAATACACTGAATATAGACAGATAGGCCAGTGTCCAATAATTTACATTGCAAGGGATTAATCAATATCTATTATTAATTAGTATCATTTAGGATCTCAATATAATCATTGTTAGCCAA